AGTTAACTTTCCCCTTTAATTGGATGAAGTTATGTATAAGTATGATATATTTACCACCTGGATCATGTTGCCAAACAGGCGCTTGTAATTACACGCCCTGATAAAGCGAGAGATTTAGGTCTTGGAGAGGTTCTCTTGGACAAAGTGGAGCGATTAGCTCTTAATTAAAAAGCTTTTCTGCCACATCCATGTGTGGTAATCCGTTAAGTGGGGTGTGAAGATGCGTAGGGGAATCCTGGGCGATGACGATAATGTGCAGAGGAGGTCTGTTATGCAATCCGGGGGCTCGGAGCCACTGGGATTCAGATCCCCCTCCCTCGCCAGATGACACTCATTTACTTGATGAGATCCAAAGGAAATCGATGATTGCGTTTGTTTAACAACACCCTCCTTGTACGCGGCTTTGCTCCGAGAGCCCACCGCCGTCATGCAGAGTCAGGGTTCAGAGTCAGACCCGTGTAATCATCGCACGCTCGCAGACAGTCACTTAGCACTTTATTGACTTAACACGGAGACATCCGCACGGCCCATGAGTGGTGGTGCTTTTTGTCTGAAGCGCTCAGATGTTTTTTTAAAACGCTAAAACGAAGCGACTAGGCGACACGCGCCTAAACTGCGTTTCCTTTTTCTCTGCAATCATTTAACTCATGTTTGTTGTCTCCCCCCCATCCTGACAGATGTTCCAGTTACCAAGTCACCCAGCTGGTAAGTTGCCCCTGACTTCTATCGCAGCGTGTAAAAATCACCAGAGGGGAGGAGCACCGAGCAAAAACCCACCACCACCACCACACACCAGCCTTTTGTCATCAAGCCTGAATAATGTCACGCTTACTTTCCATTCAAACACATCACAGTGGGTATGAAATACCGGGATGTTCCACCACATCTGTTTATACAGCATTTAGATGCCAGATGGTGTGTCATGTAGAAAGCGATACTGCTGATGGAGTTTTACAGATCACAAGGTTGCGTGATTCATGATGATCTATGCCGTGCACAAGCTCAGCCAAACTCACTTTACATAGAGCAATCGGATGAGTCCTGCCGTGTTTTGGCCTTTTAACCAAATGTTTTTTAGGCCTTAGAACCTACATTTGTACTTTTTATTTGGAGGCAAAAAAAAATTGGTGAACGAGGTAAAAACGAGGCACGAGATCAAACCACGAAACGGTTCCAACCTCAACTTGAACCGAAATGAAATTAGATCAAAGCACGAAAAGTTAACAAGGCTGACCACTATTCCAGCATCCCTCCGGCGGGTAATAACAAACTGCCCGACCTCTTGCACTGCAATCCGAAGGGTCAGAGTGGCATCGATGAAGGTGACGGTAACAAGCGCTGTTCTCGGGTTGGGTCTGTTCAAATCAAAGCCAACCAGGAACTGGAAGATTAGTAAAGAATTGGAATGATCATTGTCTGAATGTGACCTAGCACTGCTTAAAAAAAAAACAGCTCTTGTATGTAATGGTTGGAGCCACCTGTGGCTGGAAAAAAAATATTTTATATGTGTGTGCAGCCCTTCGTAAGACTTGTGAAGATGGCATGAGCAAACCATTTTGATTGGAGGACTTAGGATGGGAGACTATGGGGTTGCGAATTAATTGATGGCTTACTTAATTAAGGTATCAACAAGTGTAAAAAAACAACTTCTTCCAGTTGACTGGGCTAAACTTAGCCGTCATCATCTTCCCTGCCATCATTTGCGAAAAAATACCAGCAGCTGATGTTGACATGGCAACATGTTTGGCGGCGGCGGCGTGAAGCTTTGAAAGCCCAGAACACTCGCAGGTTGGTCACAGTCACGGGGCGACGGCTTCCCCACCGTCCCAACAGCGTTACCCCACCGGGGGAAGGTTCAGGCTCTTTCTCCACGCGTAATTCCTGGCGCACGTCTTGCCTCCGTTGCACCGGGGTCTGATTCAATCTGCCGAACTAGCGGAAAACAGCTGCATACTAATGTAGCTCCCTATGAGGCCGACGCCTCAAAGCCGTACGGCTGAATCTCATTGCTCCAGGGGGCAAATTTAGTTGGATTTCACATGAATTTACAATTGATACTCGGGGGGGGAAAGTCAAGGGCAAGGCCTTCCACGAGGAAACATGAAAGTCAGAGTCATAATTAAAGCCTTTTATTGTTGATAAAGCGAAATTAATTTCCCACAAAAATGTGGCCGTCTGGCTCGGCGGGTGTTGGTGATAAAAATTGCCTGGATTCTGCTGCGGCTTGACATCCTCGTCTGTACAATAAAAAAAAAGCCGGTTTCCTGGAAGGCCGCGGCACAATAAAGGACCATGTGATGAGTTTATTGATTGCTCAAAGGCAACTGTCTTTTTTCACCTCCCCCGCTCCACAGGGAGGTCAGCGGTCAAAGACAGCGGCAGCCCCGGGAGCTGATGGGCAGAATTAGACAGCCGGCGTCTTATTCACCTGCCTCCAGCAAACCGAACTCTGTCCATCTGTGTGGAACCATCAGAATTAATGCTCAGACGCACACAACTTGTACAACTTTTATCTAACAGTCTGTATGAACGGTGTTTCTAAAAAATGCTAAGTAAGACTCTTTGGTTCAGTTTTCTTTAGTGAGTCCTGCCCAGCCATCGTTTGCCCCCCCCCCCCCCCACACACACACACCCCCCCAGCTGTGCTTTTCGGAAGTGTGCGCTGAAACCTCTCGTCCTCGTTGTCTGCAGGCTTCGGGTTCCTGTGGGCTTTCCTTTGCCGAAACGACTGACCTGTAATTCTGCACAGGTGTTAACTGGCCCGGGGAGCGTGTGTGTGTGTGTGTGTGTGCGTGTGTGTGTGTGTGTGCGCGTTCCCGGGGTGTGTGTTTGACCGTGCGCGCTCGCCGGCGCTCTGTGAGGTCTCGGCAATTTCCCATGCAGGGGGGGATTTCTGCTGAGCGCACATTTCCACCTCGGTTTAGTCAATAGTCTGGCCTTTTAAAGAAGAGCTATCAATAGCAGTTTTCACAATCTGGGTGTTAAGACTGTCAGCATATCCCTCAGATCTGTCAGCAGTTTTAGAATAATAATGCCAAAATAACTTTTGTGATTGTCATAGCAGAAATATATATTTTTTTTTTTTTTTTTTTTCAAGCTCTGCAGAGGCAACACCTAAACCCCCCTCCGGCTATTTGGCTCATTTTCTTTGGTGTGGGTTTCATTTGTGTGCCAGCGTGATGACAGTGTTTACCTCCGTCTTTCCTTTTTGTTTTGTGACAGATAGTTTTCATAACTGCACTCTGACTAATTGCTCAGGGCCTCCGCCGCGAGAAGAAAAAACACCATGACAACGTGGCGCCGGCGTTTTACACGACTTCGGCCTCAGAGATAGACGATTCTCCTCTTCTTTTTTTTTTGTAACTTTTCTCAGCTTCACACTTTCTGCCCTTCAAAGGAGCTCATCTAAAGCACCCGCCACAGAAAGTGCCTATTTTTTTATCGTTCCCCCGGCCGGGAGCGCCTTTAAAGCAAAAAAAAGAAAAGGTTGAAGGCAGCAGCGGCATCTCGTTTACAAACATAACGGGAACCCCACAAACTGAAGTCTGGGGGCTAAGTAAATGGAAACGCATGGGACTTTGGGGTAAAACTGCGAACGCTAGACGTTTCCCAGAGCAGATTTATGACCCCAGGACCAACGCAGCACAGCTGCCGGTTGTGGTTTAAAAGAACAGCCACTCCCGGGAGAGATCAGCAGCACACAGGTTAAGGGAACGGACACACAGATGGGAGTGGGACATTTGCATTCAAGCGGGCTCCCACTTTAGGCCGCGCTCAGCCTCCATTTGCATTGAAAAATGATTCTCGCTTCTCTCCTTGAGCTAGATGATTCACTGGGGCTTAAAGGCTCGGGGAAAGTTGCGGAGGGGGGGGGGTGTACAAAGATATGCCTGAATCGATAGCCACGCTCCTCAAATCACTCAAAGCTGACGCGAACAAACAAGCTGTGTATCGCCGTCGCCGTGTGAAGCGGCCCCCCTTTTTTTCCACACAGGCAGTTTTAATGACAAGAGATCAGTTTATCACCGGGAAAGTGCGTTGACAAATAGTTCTTTTTTGTTTTTATGTGGGTGGAGAACGCTTTCGTCCTTTGGATAGAGACGGATGGGGCTGCATCACGGAGGATGTATCACAGTAATGCTGCGTTGTCTTCCGCACCGCGATGGCGCACTTCAAACCCAAATGACTGCTATCAGCAGCTCTAATGTCATCGCTGGCAGGGCTTTACATCTTCCTCCAGATACCAGGACATGGCGAGAGCACAATCTGAGCTGGAACTACACCACTTAAGAGCTCTCTAAGCCGTAATACTAACATGAATTATTAAATGGAAATATCACTTTTTAATTCATTCTGGACCAACCTGAAGCACCTGTTTGTTCTTCTTTATTACAAAGATTAAAAAAAAAGTCAGTGTTTGGATTGACATATCCCAATTTACTCTGTTCTGAATCTAACTATTCAGTATTCGGTAGAATGAAAAAGCAAGAAACAACACTGTCTTGGTTCTTATCCATGCCAGGTCTGGGGATATTCTCTGTTTTCTGATTCAGAGGGCTCAGTTTAACTCGTCCCGCACCTCGCAGCGAAACTGAGAGGTTGCGAGATTGTAGGATAGGCATCTTTTATATGTAATGTAATTTAAGGCCTCGTCTCAGAGGTCTCAAGCGATGTTTTTTTGAGCGCCTGTTTACCTGGCACGCAGGCCCTGTCTGCAAGTGTCTCGTTCTTCTGACTGGCTGCTGCCGGCGCTGCAAGCGATACGACGTGAAGAAGAGGAGGGGGGCAGATTTAATTAGTGTAAATGAGACTCCCACGTGCCGGATCCTGTCACATTGTTCGTCATGTTGGGGAGGACTGAAACTCGCTGACAGTATCAACACGGGCACGGCGCTCGCTGTGTCTGCACCGTTTTCCTCCGCCGTCGTCGTCTGTTTTTAATTGCTGGTTTAGGGCATGTTTTCCTTAAGAAAAATGGCAGGCTGCAGGCAACACAGACGATGACTTTGAGACGGAACAACTCTTGGTGTTTTGTCTAGAATTGTGTTATCCGTTAACACTAAAGTCCGTTTGACTTCCACATGTCTCTTAACATTCCTCACTTAACGTTTCTTTTTTGATTTTAGATTTTAGAAACAGACTAAAAGCCATCAGGAACGGGGATTTTCAATTTTTTTTTGGGTGGTGCTAAAAAATACACAGCTTCCCAAATGGTGGAAAAAACAAAACACATTCCTACTTCTAAACAAGAATATGGAGCCACTTCAAAGACGGCTCAATAGATTTAGACTTTAGGGAGTGCTTTCATATGCTTGGATTCCAGGGAACTATTTCGACCCCCGCCACCAGCTCTCAGCCCCCCCCCCTTTCCTCTTGAAATTAACTTGTAATGAGGCACACAGCACTCAGTGTTGGTTTAGCTGTGCTAATGTTTGGGTACCTTCCAGGGCCTCGGCAGCAGCAGCAGAGCCCGCGTCCCCGGCCCGCTGCGAGGGAGAGGAGCTCCGGGGCATCCCCGCGGCGCCCATAACGGAGCAGGAGACGCCGGCCCATTCGGGGGACGGCGGCAAAGAAAGCTCCGAGGGAATTTCCGTCCCGGGGGACGTCTCCGAAGGTACGAACTAAATTATCCCCACGGCGAACCGACGCACCTCGCATTGTAGTTAAAGGTTTCAGTGTCATGCCAGAGAGATTAAACGTGCGGTGTTCCCTGCCCTGGGATTCAGGCTCATTCCACCGACGTATTAAAGTGTTCACACCGCGGGAAGAAATGATAGAAAACCAATTGGGTCTCCAGAGCTGCGTAAACGATACTGTGACCACAACTGTATTGACAATGTGGGTGTAAATGGTGCACCGGCGTTTTGTTGCAACACATTTCACGTCCTGACCTTGATCAAATGCAGCTACAGCACCATATTACAGATATCTGGTCATCGTATGGCTCATTGATTCCCACGGCGAAAAAAAGGCCGGATACCCATAAAGACGCGTTTCAACAAATCAACACATATGGACCTCATTCCAAAAACAGAACAACAGAGCCCGCGCCGTCTCGCCGCCGCACCCGCCGCCATGATTTGATATCCACGCAGACATGACATGAATCCAATTAATTCAGGACGGGGATCAATAGAGATCCATTTCCATGGGGAAAATTGCTTTCGGGTTTTGACTCAGTCAGCAGTGCAGCTGTTATTTGAAGGTGCCTCAGAAATGAGAGATGTAAAGGAGGCCTGCTGTACCACACGCTTTTTATGTCCCCCTCCGGTAATGCGCTTTCACACATGCCTCTGCTTTGGCTCCGGCCGAATGAAAAGCAGGACGGGACAACAGAAGTATGCCCTATCTTCCTTCCAGTGTTTAGAAAATAACAAAAGAGAAAAAGGAGAAAGAAAGAAGTTAGCTAACTTTGCTGCAGAAGGTAAAAAACGTTCGTGGTTTTTTAAGTTTCTGCTTTGTAATTTTAGTCTTCAGACATCAGATTCCTGAATATATTTTGCATCATATTAAACTACCACAGATGGCAAATTGTTTTTATACTCTGACAGACTGTTTAACTTTTGACAAAACATATTTTCAGTGGTCACTGAATAATGAAGACCTCGATTTTCATCCTGACACGTGGTGCTATTTGACATATTGTGGGAGTTTTTTAATTCCTTTGTTTCCGCTAAAGGTAGAGTTAAATTTCTGTTTTTTATTAATTTATTTATTTCTGGAGTGGCAGCAGCGACACCGTAATATGCAAATGAATTAGTTCATCGCTCTGTTTCTGGAGAAAGTGTAACAAAAACAAAAAAAGAAAGTGAAGAACTTTCATAGGAAAAAAGAGTCAGTTGGGAACAAGAGTCCCCAAGTGACTCTACCGATCCCGAATCCAGTTGTTTTTTTGTCTTTATTTTGAATCCATTCTGAATACATAAATAAAAAATCAAGTTAGATATTAAACAAAAAAAGTGAAGCTAATCCTCTTTTGTTAAAATACGGAAAAGTCAATCTTTTAGCATCGCTGAGCTTGTGTTCAAGGTTAGCTGCAATAATCCATGACAGAATACACATCTCTAGTCAGATTAATTGAAAACAGTTATTGTTGCTGTTCAGGGCTTAGAAGAAAGGGCGGTAGACAAATCACAGTTTAAAACCAAATCAATAAAGCTCACTGAAGTAAATTAGGCTGAAACACTCTCAAAGCAGTTAATGACAAATCCTGCCAGGCGTGGAGATAGAACGGTTCAATAGCTCAAACAAGCTGGATACAATCATGTTACATCACATGCGCAAAGCCATTAAGGCAACACAGACGGGAGACGCGGCAGATCGCCCTAAAGAGGAAGACCTTTAGGATGCAAATGAAAATGGAAATGTACGAAAGCTAGCAAAGCTCGTCTGCTCTGAAGAAAAGCTGCCTGCGCACGTCTTTTTTTTTTTTTTTTTTTTTGGAGAACAGAACAAACAATGATGCAACAGGATGACTGAACTGAAGGGAGATTAAAGACAGAACGCAGACGCCACAAAAAAAAAAAAGAAAAGTATCTTTACTTTGATGCCACGGGTTTATTTGATACATTTATTATTTTTTTGTGTGTTGCCAGTTTCCAGTGGGCCTCCACCAGCAGAGGCTCCAGAGGTGATCTATGATGACGTTCCAAGCGAGGAACCCCTCTCTCCTGATGAAGGTCGGCGGCTGCCCGAACCACATTTTTTGCTTTCAGTTGTTTGTCCAACAGCGGCCTCTGATGTGCCACGCGTTTGTGCGTTGAGCAGATATGATCTACGAGGACGTCCAGAGAGACGGCGGTCCCCCGGAGGCGGACAACGGGTGGAGCTCCAGCGAGTTCGAGAGCTACGATGACCAATCCGATAATGAGGCCAAGCTCCCGGCAAGGATCAAGGTAGTCTGTGCGGGAATGCTGCCCCCGATGCACGCCAAGTGTTTGTATATATATATTTTTTTTTTCATATTTTCCGTGGCATTATGACAGGCCGAGTTGTTTGGCTGGTGGGTTGGTTTCCAGCACCGAGTCAAGAAAAAATGTTTCATCTGCTGCTCAGCTTGTGCTGTGCTTTTTATTAATGTTTAGGACTGGAAGAAAAACTAAAGAACATGAAATATGTATAAAAGTGCTGTCTAGTTTTATACTATCATTCAGGGATAAAAGCGAACGTGTGGCGTTCCTGTTTGAAAAGCCTCAGATCTCGTTGCCTCTTTTCTGCCAAGGCTTCTGTTTATCAGTGGGCTGCTCACGAGGACGCTTCCTCCACACGATGGCACTGTGTGCACATTCACCCTCTGCAGGATTTTCTTTATGCTTCACCACCTTTCACTGTGGATCTTCCAGTGCAGGCATAAAGAAAATTTGTAGTGGAGTCATTATTAATGTATGGATTTCTACCTACAACGTGTAATAGCATGTTGAAGGTGTTTTTGTATGGATATACATATGTATATGTATATATTTTTTTTCTATGTCTAAAAAATATAGCTTCTGTTATGCAGAGGGAAACAATCCTGAGGTAAATCAATTATTTTAGAAAGAAATGAGACCCAGAGTAAAAAGCTTCTTGGGTGGGACAGAAAATGAGTTGCTTAGGTAATTACAGGGAAGTGCGGTGTGAAAATCCCCCCACAGTTTTGTTCTGTTGGCATGTTTGTTTCAGGCCACTGAACAAAAGGAAGAATTCAGCTGTACTGGTTTAACAATTAATGAAAAAAAAAAGGGAAAGCAAGCCTATCAGGGACCGGCAATACTTTTCAGCTAGCGCAGCCTTCAACCGAAACACAGTGTTTTTAATTAGCTTCACCCAAATTAATTTTTCAACATTCATACCTGAAGTTCTCCTCTTATTTGTGGAAATTGGGAGCCACAATAGAGTTCGCTCATTCAAAATGAACCACCCTGAAACTGCTTGCAAGCGCACCAACCCCCCGAGTGAATAAGTGGCCATCAGTTTCAAACAGCAAGACCCCTTTGACCATAGCAGTGCTCCAAGCTTGTACTCTCTGTGCTCGTGATTAATTCCCAGTGTTGCACAGCTTCTTTTGCCTTTATCACTTTGCATCCATTCCTTTTTCTATTTCCTTTTCCATGCTTTCCTCCCCCCCTCCCCCTCCCCACCCTTTGGCTTTCGTGGCTAATCACAACCTGCACCCATGCCCCGCCCGTGCCTGTCCCACACCTGTAGCTCACTCCTGAAGTGCACCGGCTGAGGGAGCGCTGTGCCAGGACCAAGCGTGAACTGGCTATGAGGCTCTCTGGAAAGCACAACTATGACATCAAGGTATACCTCCAGTGGCAAACGAACACAGATCTATCATGCAATTGCTCCGCGGAGCTCGAAATCACTCCGCTGTGTGTTTACCAGCAGGATTGATGATCACCCAGAGCTGAAATACACCATCTGGTATGCTCAGCTGACACAATGGCTGAATTGACTCTCTGTGCCATCCTTCTTAACTACTCCTATTCACTGTGTCTTTGCTTTGAGACTATTGATTTGTCCTTTTCTCCTCTCTTTCCATGCCCGGGTTTAATATAAAGACACTTCAGCGGAACCTATTAAATATTAAATAATAGCCTGTGTATTTATTTCCATAAACATCGCTGCATCTCGCTCTCTTAACTCATGACCTACTTTTCCCGGGGTACCGTCATTTAAAAATACTACCACCCTGGATATATTCTGGGTCTTCGGGGTCTGGTTGCACGGCCTTTATCATGCTCAGGGTGACGTTTGCGGTCAGCTGAATTCTCCCACACTGAGCAAACCGGCTGATACGGATCTCCCTCTCCTATCATAATCTTTCCATGATATGCTCGCGGAGCCTCTGATTAGAGGCTGTACAGCGACCCACAGGGAGTCACAGATGGCGAGATTCATGATGAGCCCACCGAGTGCCACTTCTCTCCGTCTCTCTCCAGAGGAGCACCGTGGGTTATCAAGTCGCCACAGCGTGGCACTTTCCGGCTGCTCTGATGGCCCTTTGTTGTTTCTGTGTGCTCCTCCCAACCAGGTTCAGCAGCTCATGAAGGCGGCACGAAGCGGAACGAAGGATGGACTTGAAAGGACCAAAATAGCCGTCATGAGGAAAGTTCCCTTCCTGCAGAGAAAGGATCAACTGGGTAATTGAGGAAATTTCTGGAAACTTTTGTCAATCTTTGTCTGCTGGCTTTTGGAGACGGAGGTTCGGTTATTTTTTGGGACCGGATTAGGAAAATGGGTGTTTTTGGGATCCCTTACAGCTGACACTTTGAATTATAGGCAGCTGCTTTTGTAGAAATCTACCCAAGCAAAAGCAGTGTTTGAGGTAGATGGAGTAGGAAGTCTTACTTTGCCTTAATGCAAATCCCTTCAGGGAGGAATGAAAGAGCTGGAAAAGGAGATCTCACTGATCGTAACCATAATAATAAAAAAAAAAAAACACATTTCTCCTTTCTATGTCAGAGTTTGCACTTGAGGGAAGTTTTTCCTCCGTTTGAGAAAGGATGAAGCGACCTTGGTGTTATTGTATAGGTTGTGTTATAGGAACGCTCGCCTGACAATGGAGAGAGTTTACCATCCATTAATGGGAGAGTCAAGCAGGCTCATGAAACATAGATACCAGCCCGAGCCTCAGACAAAGCTATCCCCAAGCTATCACAAAGAGGTAAAGAGGACAGCCCAGCTATTTTTAGTTACTGTATTGATCGAGGGAAATGCACACAGCATTGTATTCCTCTTCCAAATATGCTCTGTTATCATTCCAAAGTCTTTAATTGGACTGTTGGAAGCTTCTGGTATCAATGTCTTTATGGCTATGGGTAAAGTTTGTTTTTCCCTTGTATTTTGGAACTGTCAAATTTCTTTGTGCCAATGCAGAGATGAGAGTGTGCTCTTCTTTCCTCCTACATAGATACAGCATTGTTTTGATTTTCTTTAAAGGCTTTGGTGCCTCTGCCTCCTTCTTCTCCCCTCTGTATTCCCCACACTCTGTTTCTCTCTCTTCTTATTTAGAGAAATTGGAGTTTTTTTCATTTTTTCATTTTTTTTAGAGGTAATAAACTTAGTTAGGTGCAGTGTGACTCTAGCTACTCCGATATCTGAAGGCTGCCTCGCTGATGAGGTCCTTGTCCTTGTTGCACCTACACAATCACAAACACTCCTCAACCAGCGAGCACATTTCTCCTTTTTCATCTCTGAAATCTGCAGAGGAGGAAGATGATGCCGGGTACCTGGATGTGGCCGTCTCAGAGGTGAAGCATCCTCCCCCACAGCTGAGCCCCATGCCCGAGGGGCTGACCAGCCACCAGGTGCGTCTGACCGCAGCTCAGTGCAAATCCACTTGTGTTCAGTGGAAACTGTAACATTCTCTGTTTTCCTCCGGAGTGTGTTTTTGGAGAGAAAACACTTTGGCACTTTGGCAAATGGAGAGTGGACTTGATGTGGTGAAGCGATCTGTTTGAGAACTAACAAAAGTAATACATTAAAATCAAACCAAAAATAAGACCAAATCTGAAAATAAATAGCACAAACTCCTACTTGCTGTGTGGAAGTCCAGAGAATTACTCTGTGACCAGCTGTCCAACTCCACTTGTGGGGTTGGGTTCTCTTTATAGAACGAGAAGTTGGAGGGAAACTATGCTGAGAAATGAATAGAGCCTTGTTTCTGCTGTTGCGAAAAATACAAGTCTATTAAAAAAAAAAAAAAAACTGCACCATGTTTCATATATTGATGTATCTAGTAATTATTATTTACATTATAGCCTACTGCACCTGCTGGGATTCTGTGTCAAATTGAAAATAGTCCAAAGGCGATTTTCTGAAATGTTGAAAAGCCTCCATTCCATTTTTTTTTTTTTCTAAATGTAGTTTTGGAAAGCTGTAAAACTTTTCATCAGATGACAGGTTTGGACTGCAGGCAGGCTGGTTTACGACCTGGGAAAAATATAATACAGGGCCATGGTGATGTTATACGTGCAGAATGTAGATGATTTGGGATAAATAAACAAGACTGGATGGATCTGGATGGATACCTGTTATGATCAGAAACCTGCAAATGTTGTTCAGCAGCAGCGGCAGCTGCACAGATGTGCCCGTGCACCCCCATGTTATCACAGATGCCCGCCTTTGAACTCTGCGTGTATAATGGATAGCCCCTGTTTTCTTCAAGTTAGATTCTGTAGCCTCTGTGATCCCCCAAAAGAAATCCTCATTTTGATCAATCACACCATATAACAATTTTTTTCCCATAGACTCTGTCCATATTACATGGTCTTGTATCCAGAGAAGGCAAATGTTTATGTGTTTTTTGCGAAATATATTTGTAATGGTTCGGTTTCAGCCTTTATTAGTGGATAAGTCAAACTGTCCGCTCACAATAGTTCTGACGCATTACTAAACCTGAACGTGGTCCATATTTGCTGGATCAGACATTAAGCTTTTGAAGTAGTCATTCGTTACTATCGCTCTGACATTTCTACACGCTTTAAACATTTGCTGCTGTGAGGGAAGTTGCCGAAACGACCGTTTGGTGTCGTAGGACGGCCAGAGATTCGGCTCTCAGATGGAGTCCTCATTCAAACACTTAAACCCATCTCAAAGTCTTTTCCTCCGGCGACTAAGGCATGATTATAGTGTAATCCATCAACCTGTGCCATGCTTAACTGATCTCATACCACATAGCACAGCCCAATCATGTCCTCTTAGAGTTAGATTTCCTGACTGATCTGTTGTGTGTGCAGGTTGTGAGACGCCATATCCTTGGCTCCATCATTCAGAGTGAGCGGAGCTACCTGGAGTCTCTGAGGAGAATCTTGCAGGTGAGCTGCTTAGTCCTCCTGTCCTCCACTGCCAAATGCAATATCTTCACAGTTTAGCTGTTGTGACTTACACTGAAAGGAGAAGCAGAGATATCCATCAAATTACCACGCTGTCTCTGCATAAATAATCCTGATAAAACATCTGCGCTTATTTTTTGGCATCACGCTGCTGCAGAGACAGAGAGACTGTCAGGCTGGCGCTGGATGGGGCGCAGCCTCTCCTCTTTAATCTCTCTTGTTAGGAGGGAAAAAAAAAGACCTCTTATCTCTGCATCACAGAAAAATAAGAGGGGCACCTTCTGAAATGGAATTAACAGGAAGTCAATGGCTGCCGCGTGAGCTGTGAAATCTTTCATTGCCAAGAAACAATGCGCTGCCTTTGTTGTCAAGTGACATGAATGTGCAGAATACTTGGTGGCGTTCATCTCGTTTAAAACCTCTTTTGAAAAAATGACAGAGAGCCAAGTCATAAAACTGGTGTTTCCAGACACGTTACGTGAAGAATTGAAAAGCCACAGAACACAATTAGCATCACATCTATCTATCTATCTATCTATCTATCTATCTATCTATCTATCTATC